GCTCTGGTCACTAATCTGTGAGCACACTTGGCATGCCGGCCGAGGCTCTGGTCACTAATCTGTGAGCACACTTGGCATGCCGGCCGAGACAAGTCCAGCCTTAACCTTCCATGTCTTTGGCCATCATCCCAGTCCTGACTGTTAAACAGGCTGGCGTCCCTGTCTGGTCGGCTGGCCCGCTGGCTGGCTACATCCCAGCCTGCTTCTGCTCAGGTTCTCCATGTTACTTGTTTCTGGGACCTTAGGATTTCCATTTCTTCCCGTTACATTCAGCCAGTGTTAAGTATTTTTCTTAGGTGGTTTAGGTCTTTATAAGGAGAAAGATTTTCAGACTTGTACAGTCTGTAAATGTTCAGGAAGTCTAAGGTGTCTAAATGTAGACATTTCTAAATTAGTAAATTCAAAGAGCTACACACAGCTAAAAATAGGCATTTTTAGAAAGGATGGTGCCATGCATTTTTCTTCAGATTTGAAGCCTGACTTGGCTTTATCATCCGATGCCCAGGAGTAAATGCAGAGAAGAGAGGACTGTGGGAGGACCCGTGGCTTTCTTCTGACTTCCTTTTCCTTGTCTGTGTCTCCATTATGTCCTGCAAAGCCTAGAGTTCCTGAAATGTGGCCGTAGCCACACTGGGACAGGGTCAGTGAGGCTGAGGTTGGATCTCGTGTGCTCAGTTGCACAGGACACTTCTTTCTGTGCCTGTAGCAGGGGCTGGTTGTGTCCTCTTGGTTGAGGGTGTTGGGGAATGTGGGGTTTGCATCACAGCACCACAGAGCAGCGTGGCATTCCGTTTCCCAGCTGGAACTGTGACTGCCTGTGGGGAGGCTCCGTGAGATGTGGAACATTCTGTTCCTTTCCTGACAACCCTTTGTTGCTGTCTCGTAGGGAGGAATGATCAACTGGAATCGGCTTTTTCCCCCTTTACGTCAGCGACGAAATATCAACTATCAGGATGGCCCTCGGTCTGAGCCGCGAGCATCTCCTCCCCTGGAAGTTTCAGAGGAGCAGGTAACCAATGACACCTGTACTCAGTCTGATCCATACC